CCCATTTGACAAGGAAGTTTTTGTCAACTTTCACTCCTTCTGATGATTTCTTGCTTTGTTTCAATTGAAATCACCTTTCTGTTTTTTTAGAAGCCATGATTTGCACAACACTTGAATAAATGTAAATACCCTGCACTGAGGTGATGTACGTAATAAACAAGGGAGCAAGCCGAATCTCAACGGAAGCTCTGTACTTCAGATATACTAATAATATATTTTAATAATACTAATATATTATAAAAATAGCAGATTGTCATTGGCAACGGCAAAAGAGTGGAAACATCATTCGCACTTGTTCGCAGAAAGACCGTTGTTCGCCTCACGTAACTGCTGAATGGAAAGTCCGTTGTTCGAAGCCAGTCCGTTGCTCGAGTCACGTAATGGCCAAACAGAAAGTCCGTTGTTCGCAGCGTCCGTTATTCGAGGCGTATGTTATACGAGGCACCACTGTATTTAAAAAAAACTTAAAAAAATGCATTTACTGATGGTTTATTTAGAATGGGAGTGGAGGCATCCCTACCATATACTTCACTAAAATGCTTTTACAATACAGGATTAAATGCTACATCTTGTTATGTTTATCAGGTTTCAACATGAGGTGAGGTCCCCTTTAAAACATTATTAAAATGCATTGTCATCAAACTTAGGTATGTCCTCAAAGTTTCAGCCTTTTATCTTGGATGAAGTTTGATTTGTAAGGCTTGAGAACACAACATAAAGCAAATTAACTAAAAGCATTTAATAAGATGACGACGACGACGATGCCTATTTCCAAACCCTCATAATAATACACAAAGTTTGTAGCAGTTCATGTTATTTTAACTTCTAAGCTTTGAAACTTGCTAATTTTAACAACATTAAATGACTGACAACAGTATCTGTAATTACAATAATTGGATTCTATTGTAAATGAAAAAGTTAAGTATTTTTAATAAAAAGATCATAAGAATCAATAAATTTTAAAAAATTATCTATAAGACTAACAAAACACATATATAAAGTTATTATTAACTCTCATCCAAACGCATTAAGTTTTGTGACGTCACTTGGCATGTTGTATCTGTGGGATACATAAAGAAAATTAATGTAATTTTTATAATTTTACTGATATATATGCTTGACTACAATTATATCCTGGATTTCTACATTTTCTCTACTATCTAGCAGTATAAAATACTTATAGGTTTAAAAAAACGATTTTTATTTATATTTTCTGAAATTTGATCTGTAAATGCAAAAATCTAAACTTATGAAATATCAACTCACTATAAATAATTTCAACATTTACTTATTGACATCAGATTTGTTAAATTTCACAGAATCGTATTATTTTTCAACTTCAGGTTAGTAAAGCTTTGTTTATTTTCTCCCATGAAAGTAATATACTCTGCCTGTTTTCCACTGTGAAGTACAACAAACTGCTAATCATTTTACTACTTTGTTTTCAAAAATTCCCTTCTCTGTCAGTAGTGGGTTAAATGACTAACAAATTGTTTTCTCGCACTCAGGGGAATGTTTTCTTTTAGATTTAACAACAAGTATTGCCAATAATAAAGTCTATAATTTTATTTTTAATAATTAAAAAAGTATTGATAAAATTATCAAATAAATGTTTGAGTCACAATTACTAAATGGTATTGCTACATAATAAACATAAATTTTTATTGTTGCAAAATTGAAAGTGTTAAATTTCTTATCATGCTCTGATCCCGAGACAGCAGGGTGATAACACCAAAGCATGAGAATAGCATTGTCAGAAAAGCTGCAATGACTTATTTGAAATGAATTGGGATTGGTCCTGTCATTAAAACCAGGAGAAAATGATAAAATGTGTAGTATGATGGTAAAGGTTAAATATTCTGCATTGTTATTTTATTGAATTGCAACTGTTGCATATAACAATGGCGAGAGTACAGTGTTCTCACGCTGCGCAAGAATTTGCTGCAGGTGATAGTAAGGTGTTGTTTTTCGTAAAATTTCTCTAAGGAAAGGATCACAAACTTGAAAACCACTGTTGAAATTGCTTCAGAACATATCAGTTGAGGAATACTACAAAGCCTGCAGTTCAACTGTTATTTATTTTTGAGAAATTCAATAAAAAAAAAATGTCATGTATCTGCTGGATACATACACAACAAAGGAAGAGTTAAACTAAATCTTAAAAATTTTTAAGATATTTCAATTATATATTTACATAATGAATTTTTATGTATTATTATAATTATTCAGTTTTCTATATATAATTTATTTCTCCAAAAATTGATAGACATTTCAGATAAAATTATTTGTAATTATATTCATACAATATAATTACAAATATTTGGACATATTTTTAGTAGTTAGTATGTACTAGAGATAAATTTAACTTAATTTTTTAAATATTTAATATGTTATGAATTACAACAAATTTTAGGAATGCCTACCTTCATATATATAAAGGAAGGGGGGAAAATGTATCCAAAGTTACATTATTTTTCAAATTTCAATTGCTAATAAACTATAGAGTAGCACAACTCTTACAAATAAATATTTATACATATGCCATTTCAAATTGAAATCAAGAATAATAAAAAATTTATTTCTCAAAATAATTTATGAAACAAAAAATCCATTCTCTCCCATTAAAAGTTAACTTAATAACTTATCTGAGATACTCAGTTTCAACAACAGATTTATTGATAATTCTGAGTAATATTGTCAATAAATCTAAAATCATTTTTTCTTTTACAAATTTTACTTACTATGTTCAGAATTTATTTTATTCAATAAAATAATCTATATAAATAAAAATGTAATGTTTGTTTGTTCCTAATAGCTAATCTCCGAAAGTTCTTCACCGAGTGCTTTAAAATTTTCATACAACGTTCTATTAGAATACGGGTGTGTATATAATATATATGTTGAAATTCCCTCCCCCATGAGTTAATAATAAGAAAGTTATTTTTTAATGAAATCTCATAACAGATAATGCCACCTAATTTTAACTTCGTACTAGTGTGTCTTAGTTTTTCTTAAACAAAAATTTTTTGCTTGGAAAATTATGAAATATTTAGCTATAAAAGTTTAAAAATTAATTAAATTGTATTTACAATTCCATATTTTTTTGTTTTTTTGTTGACTATTGCCATATAGTTCAAGAGACATTTCTGAGAATGAAACTTCGGTTCAAGACATTAAAGGAGATGCACTCTCTTAACATTTTCTCACAATCCAACTACGTGGTAAGAGTGGGGATACTACTGCATATATTTTAATCAGAAAAATATTAGAATTATTTTTAAAGATAATTTGATGTTTAAAGAGGAATTAATCTATATAAATAAAAATGTAATGTTCGTTTGTTCAAAATCTTAAATCTGCACCAATTGCTTTAAAATTTTGACACAACATTGCATTCGCAATTTGAATTCGAATTGCAAATGCAATGTTGCAATATGTGTGAATTCGAATTGCGAATGCAATTCGCAATTCACACATATTTTTATATAATTTAGATGTCAAAATTCCCCCATGGGGGAGAGGGACAGGATTAATTAAGGCTTACCGTGAAGAACTTGGCTTCTATTATACTATTTTAGATGCAGTTTTTTGCATTTTTGATTGTTTTAATAGGATACATCAAGAGAATGTACACTAAGAAGGAATTTTTCAAAATTCTCCCCCACAGGGAAGTGTTATACATTTATAATAGATACATTTTGAGCCACAGCAACACATGGCCGGGTCTGCTAGTATATTTAATAGAAAAACTTATATGTATATAATATAATTAAATATGCCAATATTTTGCTGAATTACATTACATTAATCATTAAATTTTTTCTTGTGAACAGATTTCATTGTCATATTTCTCTTTTGATTATATGAACAAACAAACATTTCATTTTTGTTTTCACTTCAATAAAAATTTTGTAGCATCTCCAGTTATTTAATTTGGACAAAGTTTACTAATGATTAGACTAATTGGATATGTTAGACAATTTGTCAGTTATTGAAAATTATGATTAAATAAGTCAATTTTTGTAAATTTTAGAAATAAAAAACTGATTTAAGGTAAAGATCTTTGCATATTTTTATGACTACATCATCATTAAATGTCATCTGAATATCTCAAAATTTATAATTTTAGATTAGAAATAAAATGATCATTTTGTCTATAAAAATACCACTTGAATGTCTAAATTCATTTGTAATTAAACAATTTTTATATTTCATATTAAAGTTACATCATAAAAATTTATAATACAGTAGAGTGTCGATTATCCAAAAGTCAATCATCCGAAAGAATTCCAGTCGACAAATTTAAATTTTTCTTTGGCTATGTCTTGGGCTACTCAAATATTTTACGTTTTTGATACTAAATTAACTTCTGAAGTATAATTTTTTATTGTTTTTATATTTTTCAATATATTTATTTTGTTCGTACAAAATAAAAAAATTATTTTTAACAATACAATAGTCTTTGTTAGGCTTAACATAAACGAAAATTCAACGCAAAGCGACACACAACAGAGAAAAATGTCAAGATGGCATAAATTAATATATTTTTTCATACATAATCAATTATCCGAAACATCGATCTTCCGAACAATCCCACTCCCCAATTGATTCGGATAATCGACACTCTACTGTATTCTTATATAAAAATATTTAACAACATTTTGTGATTTATGTAGAAAAACAGAACAAATAAGTGGGCTGATAATGTCATTTTCAGTCCATTAATTTATATATCAGGATCTATTTTATTAATGGTTCTGATAATAAAATTAATATTAAAATGGCACAGTGCGTTCATTTATATCTATCGCAGTGTATTAAATTATACATAAATAAACTTAGGCTATTAGTTTTGAAAAATGAGATTCTCCACATCACCTTTCAGTTTTAATTAATATATCTTATAATTAAATTATTACATATTATACATTAGAACACTTACCTTTACAATTAGAGTCCATTTAGTCAGAGAGAGACCAAATCCAGCCAAAGCACCGTAACGACCTGCTAAAGTATGACAGAAGCACAGCAGTAAAAGAAAGCCTACCCAGTTGAACAAGAAAGCCACTATAAATTAAGAGAGAATCAATAAATGAAATAATCAAATATCAATTTTATATATTCTTGAATATTTTTTTCAAAGAAATAAGGACAAATTTTAGAAAGAAAATCAATATTAATTTTTCAAGAGATTCTGATATGAAAAAGAAAATAAATCTAATATATGAAGCGCCTATAACATGTTTATTATAATAGATATTTTTGTACACATTTGACTCCCATTTTTCAATCATTTTCTTTATGGGTCTTTGCTATTACAACTTTTGCAAATTTTATACTATGATTTATGATGTAATTATGTTTTTTTTTTTTTTTTTTACCATTTCAGTATCATTATATATTTTAGGAATGACAAAACCATGGCTTGTGAGCCATGTACAGCTCATATATAATTTATGGCTTGTGGAAATGTGTTACCTGAGCTCTTTTTTGCATCACAATTAACATAAAAGGCAAATAGAAATTTTTCAAGCATTATAATTACTTACTGGTTATAAACTGAGAGTCCAGTAGATTAAAACATATTGTAAATTCAACACTCATGATCAATATTTAAAAATTTAAATAATAATTTTAATACTATATTTGAATTAAAAGCAAGAAATTTCAGATGAGCCAGGATAACTTACAAAGAAGTGTTGGAAAATCAGTAAGTGAATCATACAAGCTGGTGCTGAAATATTATCAATAGTTTTAGTGAGCATGATTTGAGATCATGTAATTGTGACAAGTGTAAACTATGTTGAGAAGATTACCAGATTAAATAATTTATCTCAAATTGAGCACTCTTGTTACACTGATATCTGACTCAGAAAAGTTTGTCACTCTTGGTTTAAAAACACATTGTAATCTAAGGAGCAATTCTTAAATTGCAGTCCATGGATCTGCAAAGTTCCAGAAATAAAATATCCTAAAGTGATGAAAATCAATGTTGTACTCATTTCATATTTTTAGCATACACTGCTGTGAATCATCATACTTGTAATGAAGTTTGTGAAGCCATAGCATTGTGCAATTATTACAAATCAATATCTGACACATAATTTGTATAGCCTTCACACCTCTACCTCTGCTAGCAGCCTGATAATTGTAGCAATGCCAATCTGCATCACAAAAATATTACAGTAAGACTAACTTAAATAAATACTAAAAATAAAGAATATTCCTAGTTTTAAAACAAGTAAAAAATACTCTGACTTCTTCCGACTTCAAGGGACAATATAAGTTAAACAGATAAACAAATGATGAAAAAGGTACTTTTATCTAACAGAAATTCTAGAATGCTTTTTTTAAAAAAAGCATTCTAGAATTTCTGTTTGGCAAAAGAATCTTCAGTTTGAATTAAACTTTTTTGTTCAAGCCTGAAGAAGGTCAGTGAAACTGACCGAAAACATTTGGTATTTTAGCAAAATAAGCTGCATGTTAAAGGTTTTTTGGAGCATTTTTGACGTATTACAAATTTCTTAGACATGTAGTTACAACTCAAGAAAGTCAAAACTATAAATCAAGTTTTCGTAAAATCAACACATCATTCTCTAAATATATTCCATGTAACTCCTTTGATCTATTTGAATATAAGTTCCTAGTTTACTAAGCACATGAATAAACAGTTTTGACCTAAAGGGCATAAATTACAGCTTGCAGTTAAGTCCACTACCTCTTCTAGATTTAAAAAGTTTAACTGAAAGTTATGGATTCCCTATTCATATAGTATAGTAAAATATGAAACAGTACGTATAAATCTAATAAAACATTGACAAAAGAAATTACTTCATTTCACATATTCCAAAACTTTGAATAGGAGTTACATTTCCCCAACTCAAAAGTTCAATCCATAGCATACAAATGTTCTGCAATCTATTAATAACAAAAAACCTGTAAATAAAATTTACTGATCAGGGATTTATAAAATACAAAAAAAATAATAATAAGGATCTATTTCTAACTTTGATTTTGAATTTATTTTTTGATGTACTGTATAACTTTCACTATTTAGTTATGTCTATCTGAGCACATAGTCCACAATTTAATGCAATATGAGGCTGTTCTCACTTGTCATTGACAGATATTTTACTCTTAAAATTACATAATTACTTTAACTAATTTGATACTGATTATCAATGTAATGTACTGAACACAGACTTCTTATGAATCCATATCAATAATTTCTACATATTTTCAATAATTATAGTTTTTATTCTTATTTTATGAAAATGTAAATATTATTTTTAAAAAAATCTCTCTACGAATAGTCAAAGCATAGGAAGAATTTGAGCATCAGTTGAATGTGTGCTACTTGACATGTGATGCACACATTGAGAAACTGTATGGGCAAATTAGAAAACTGTTCCAAGTTTCATATGTTTTAATATACATTACAACATTCTTGGATAATCATTAACATAATTACAGGCATTAAAAAATTCTATTTGACAGAAATATTCATTCAATATTTTTTTATATGATTATGTTTACAAAACTTGACTTTTCTTTGGAACAAAAGATTTGGGATAATAAGTAACAGTATTTTGATAATTGTTATTTATTTATTTATTTTTTTGGAAGATTTTTCTACATTTGCATTGAATGTATAATTTAAACTAAACACCAAAAAATGCTACCATTTTAAATTACAATAATTATACTAATTAATACATGAGAAGTATGCAATACTTCTCATGTATTAATTAAAACAATGAAAAACTGTTCAAGTTTTACATTTGCCCAATATGATTTCTCAGCACATGAATCTCACACCTCAGTACAGCACACATCCACCAATGTGTGATGTACTGCAATCATGTATGCAATAATACCAATCAATAGAGTAACCATTTGAATTTCATTAACCATCTGCATTCAAACATCTTGTTGTCTACTACCACAACCGTAAACAAAAATGGTAACTCTGCAAGAGCAAAAGCATTTCGTGTTCTGTAGTTTGTAAAGTCTGAATCACCCGTCATTGTGCAACATGAGTAATCTGCATGAGCCATAGAATTGTGGCTACCATTGGAAGAGTGACAATAGATATTTTGTAGCGAGTATTGGTGGATGTGTGTTGTACTGAGGTGTGAGATTCATGTGCTGAGAAATCATATTGGGCAAATGTAAAACTTGAACAGTTTTTCATTGTTTTAATTGACAGTACATTACAATGTTCTCAGATAATAATTAACATAATTACAGTAATTTAAAATGGTAGCATTCTTTTTTGGAATAGCCTGTATTTAAACAAAATGTTACTTTAACAAATATTTATCAATGTTTTATAATTATAAAATACCAAAACACAAACAACAAATTTAGTTAATCTTGAGAATCATTTTCTTACCAAAAAATGACATGAAGAAAAGAAAATCTGTTCCAAGAATGTCTTCGTCTCGAGAAAACAATGCAGTTGCTTCCTGATGCTACAAATAAAAAAAAATTACACTTTTAAGAACAGATTACATGATATATTTAATTGAATTTAGTCTGAAATTAAAATTTATAAAACTGAATGCATATAAATTAAGAGAATAAATAATATATTTTCTAAAAATGATGATATGTTACTGACAAAAAAACATCTACCATTTTGTAGCTATTAAAAATTAATTAATATATAAAATATGACAGACAGAATAGTCCATGTAGTGTATTGAATTTTAAATATAATGTACAGAAAAATTATTTACTTTATTATGTAGAGAAGTGCACTGAAGAAGGGTGTTACCTGAAATGCATTTGCCAAAAAATTAATAAAAATCTCAGTGAAGAGGTTTGTCAATTGTTTCATTTATATAGACACTTGAATACCAAAGATAGATGATTACTAATAAATATAAATGTTTTTTATAGAAAGCAGCTTATACTTATAATAAAATACAATTATTTACTTTGTTCTATTAGCAATGACCTTAAAAACTGTCTTCAGAATATATTATACCAGAATTATGTTATATAAATTCTTTCCTTTCATTAATTGCTGTTATTACATAATGAATTCATTAACAAAAATATAACAATCTCCATTTAAAATTCACATTATAAACTAAACAATATTAAATAACACCAACTTTACTGTGTTATAAGATTCTGAAATTTATCCATGAGAACAAAACTTTCCAATCTCTAGAAAAAAGAATAACTTCAATTTTATTTAAATCTATAAATCTTGCATAAACAAATATTATTGCAGTCTACATATCTGAGTTTGATGTCTCCTTGACTTGTGTGAATATAAACAGTAATTTGTTATTAAAATAGTTTTTATAATTGGACTTCGAACTCACATTTGAGTTATAAATAGACACTTGGCTTTTATTTATAACTCAAATGTGAGTTTGAAGTCCAATATATTCGCAAAACATGGTTTTGAAAACAACACAGTTTTTATAATTATTAAAAATTAAAATTCATAACACCTAAATTTGATTTAATTGTTCTTATACAGATTTTACTCACATTCCTGTGAACAGAACACAAAGAAACAAGTTAAGATTTCTTGTAACTGGTGCCAAATTATTGGATTCTGGACTGAAATTTTGCTTTAAATTAAACTTGTTACACTATAAAAGTACTTTCATTCTTGTTTGTATCAACAGAATAAATGTGTCTGATATTATCTGAGAGTTCAACTTGATAGAATCTTAAGTTTTTAATATTAAAACATTAAAATCTATCAATTGAAAAAAAATATGATTTAGTAAATTTATGAGTATATATGAAGTAAGCAATAGTAAAACAAAACAATTTGTAAGAAAAAGACATTGAACTTTCTGTGAAATTATTTTACATATAGAGTCATCAAAAAAGAATGCTACCATTTCAAAATTACTGTAATTATTATCTGAGAAGTATGCAACATACACTAATATAGAGTAACCATCAGAGTTTCATTTCCCATCTGCATTTAGACATCTTGTTGTCTACTATCTATAAAAAGTGCTGTAAACAAAAATGACAACTCCACAACAGAGAAGACATTTTGTGTTCTGCAGTTTGTAAAGTCAGAATCATTTGCTACTTTGCAACATGAGTAATCTGCAGAATTGCAGTTGCCATGGGAGGAGTGACACAAATATGCCATAGCAAGCGTAGAAAGAATTTGAGCATAAGTTTGATGTGTGCCACTTGACACAAAATGCACACATTGAGAAACTGTATGGGCAAATTGGAAAGCTGTTCCAAGTTTCATGTTTTAATGTACATTACAACATTCTTAACATAATTAGAATAATTTAAAATGGTACCATTCTTTCTGGAAACCCCTCTATACATAAAATAATGTTAATGTTAATTTGTTCTTTAAGTAAACAAAAATGATTTTTACTTTAACTTAATTATAATTTATTTTAAATGTTTTAAATCTATTCATTATTCTGTGGCTAATAAATAATACACTGATGTGAAAAAAGTTTGCATTATTAATACTTTAAAGTTAATTCAAATCAGAATGCTTAGTAATAAAATAAAGTTTTTTGCATAAATTCACTATGAATCAACTCCCTGATTGAATCATCATTAAATGCAATATGAATGTAGGAAAATGTTTGTATCTAGTATTTTAAAAGAATGTAATTTTTTTAAATAAAAAAACATTTATTATTGAAATCAGATTTAAATTTATATACTGAATACAAATAGTAGGTAGGTACAAATTTATTTTTTCCAAAGAAATGATAAATCAAAGTATCAACATAGTGAAAGTCAGAATCAAGTGTTTAATTCTAAAGTATTTATTTTTTATATACTTGACTACATTCTGGCTTAATTTTTCATACCAGATTTTTACACACCTCATACACATGCTTATTTGCTGTTCAAGAAAAATTTAAGAGTTAAAAGAAAATGAATTTGGCCTGGTTTTTCAAATTTTTATTTCTTATTTTGTTAGATTTCATAGATGCTTGAGAAATTTAAGTATCTATTTTAAAGAATGTACACATTTCAAAGCAGTTATAAAATAATTAAAATGAGTAATTTCTAGAAAAAGCCATTCTAATTGAAATATGTAACTTATTTTATAATGTTCAGATATATACAATGGATGATAATTCTATTAAGTTCTATTATTTGTATTAATTGTAAATACTCTTACATTTCTTTGAATTAATCAAACTCTTGCCATAATTAATCGAGCTATTATGCTATAACTATGCGATTACTTACAATGAGAGTTTGGATTAGTATCAATACATCAGTCTTCAGGATATTAATATATATCAATATATTTCTTTGAATTCTTGTAAAAACTCTGAATTAATTAATTTATGATGGTAAAGAGAAAGCTCTCTCTAATAAAATTTTCTCTATATTAAAATTTATTTACTTAATGTAAAATGCTAGAATTAATTAATAGTTACATTAAGCAAAAACAAAAACTTGCAATTATCTATGACAAGATTTGGTAACATATAGCTCGTCATGTGGCTCTGATAATATAACTCTGAATATCCATTCTCCCAATACGAGGAGGATATCTAGTAATAAGTATTATATACACCACAGAGAAATATAGAACAATACTTTTCGTTAATAGTAGTCTACTTTGAAATTACAGGATATTTTGGATCTGTCTCTCTGAATTAATTTTCCAGAGCTTTTCCCTAATGCAAGCATTTTTAAATAAAAGTTTCTTTTCATAGTACATATTAAAGTATAAAAACTGTGTAGACATTTTAATGATGTAAAATGATTGTGAAACGGGGAAAATGAAGGAAGTGAGAATAGGAGAGAGAGAGAACATAGCTTGAAAGTATGGCTGATGTTAATGGAATGTTTCAAATGAGGTGCTAATAAAAATTTTGTACTAGGATGACTAAATATGTAAAATATATTAATAAAAGAAAACACATCCCATGATTTGGCAATTTAGGTACCACTCAAAATTTTGAAACGAAAACTAAAAAGGCTCTTCTGCAAAAAAAAAAAACTTTTAGTGTATTTTATTACCAAAATTTAAAAATATGAATAATAATTCAGAGATGACGAACAACAAACTATCAGTTATGAACAGATCTATAATATAAAATGTTAGAATTAATTAGGTAAATATTAGATGTACAGTACACACTGTCGGATGTGTTAAAATCTTGTTTTTATAATGAAAGTACTTTCAACAATACAAAATCATTGTCCAAGGCTAACAAATATAGAACAGAATGTCACTACATGCAGTATAACATTCTCAACATTTAAATTTTACAATGAAATTTGAGACTTGTGAGTTATGAGAAAGAACAGAAATTTAAAATAAAAGGCAAACAAAAACAAAATGCACAATGGCACACTGAAAACATTGTTTTTATGGTATGAGTTCATGGTGCATTAAAACACAGGACAACTGGGTAGTGTGGAATTGTGGTTGTCTACTTTAATTAGGTCAAAACTGAATACTTAAAATACTATTTGTATTCTTATTCTTCATTATTTAATTTGCCTTATAAAAAAAAAATGAAATTTTAGAAATCTAAATGCACTTCATTCTCTTCCATTATATCATCATACCAAATACTTATTCTTAATTGGTATCATATTTGTTCCAAATGACACTAGCTAAACAAGTATTACAAGTATTTCAACTCAGTTTTGAACTATATTCAGATCAAGAATACACATGTCAAATTTTAAAAACATTCACAATGCTGGAATTTTAATCCTATTTGCATTGTAAAAACTTAATAGAAAGGAAAATTTGCAAAATCTTCCAAAAATGGTCTGACAGAAGTCTGTTTGATATGAAATTGCTCTTTTACAGAAAATAAATTACAACTTTATTATTTCAATAAACGGTTTTTCTCAGCATCAGGTGTTCGATGATTTATTATTGTTATTTAGCTTTAGCAACTGCATGGATGGCATTTTATTTGTTAAAGTAAAAGTATAAATTTTCCTTTGTTCATTGACTGAATGACATTAAGAATTTATCTTACTATAATGTCACCTATAAAAAAAAAAAACGCAAATTAAAATAATTCTCATTGTCGTATCTAAACATTGCACATACCGAATTCTTTTATAATTGTCATTAGTATGAGATTAAATTAATTTTTAAGTCAAACTTCTTAATAAGATAGCATTAATACAGTATTCATTGTATTAATTTTGTTTTTTTTTCAATGTCTATCATTCACATTTGCAATTTAAGTGTATGAATGCAATTGTTGATTTTTGTTGAAAATAAAGTTACTATTTAATAAGAATAATTCTAAACAGAATTCCACATTAGCACTTATAAGTAAAACTTTTAAAATTTTACTACTATTGCTGCTCTCTACTGTGATATCTTTCTTGTACTACATATTTGGCTGGTGTTATAATTATCTTTATTATTATTTATCTGTTAATTATTATTATGGTATTCCTATTCATATGTAACTGAGTTTAAGGCCTGCCTTAATATATAAGATAAAAATATTCATTCAAAAATTAATTAAAATTAATAACATCTAATAATTTGAATTAAATAAAGCAATGTATTTAATAACAAATAATGACAAATTTCCAATGATTAAGTTAAACAGATAAAATTAAAAAAAAAAAATTATACTAAACTCTATTAATAATAAATTTACAACTAAATTGTTTAAAGATTCCATTTTAAATTCAAATGCAAGGGTTTGAATCTTGTATATAGATTAGAATGTAAATAATCATCAATATACAATACTGTACTGAATTATGCATGTAAACATATTTTAATAATGTTTGATATATATTTTATGTTAACAAATAATACTTTTACATTAAAAATAATAAATTTTAATAGAATACTACAATTCATTTTTAACTGTATCAGTGTGAGTTAACACACATGTAGACAATTCAGAAATGAGTTTCATAAAATGTCAAAAGCAGAGAACACACTGCTCCCACATGCTAAGCAACACTATAATAAAGTGAAATTAATTTTCTGCCAATATCCTCTTGTAATCAGGAAACTTTCCTACAAAGAGTAATATCTATTCATTTAAAAATTTTTTCTATGTAAAATATAGTCTTTCAAGCATGTAACCAGATATATAAATGAATATCATCATTAGTATTAACTCTTCAATACTCAAGCATCAAATTCTCAAAATCTAATTACCATGCAACAAAATTAAGTAAAACCTTCATTAATAGTAAGATATATTTAATAAAATTAAAGCTAATGAGTTAATTACACATAATCTCTCTTTTTTTTCTCCATTATAAGAGGATGTTTTAGGATTTGGATTTTGGAATAGATAAAAATTTTAATTTTTAATGAAATTTATTCTATTTTTGATTGTACAGATAAGTTTATAACAGGGAAACAGTTGTTTTATTATAACTGTTATGTTTAGTTTATTTCTGTCATTATATTCTAAATCTATAAATGGAATAATGTCATAAGTGACAAAGTACATGAGAAAACACCTAGTTAGACTATCTTTCAACACAATGTTTATTATTTAAGTAAATATGATTCTAAATCTTTAATTTTTAGAAATTAAAAAATTTACATGTTGTCTCTCTTCTTCTTCCAACATTTTAGAACGCTGAGCCTCTTCGTAAGTTGGAAGTTCGGCCGCAGCTACACTGTAGGGTGGCGGCGACGGAAAATATCCTTGACATTTTCGACTGGTGTCGCCTAAATAATATATTTTGATAAATACAAAATTTTGTACTTTAAATTTATTTCTAGAATTCATATTATAATGCATTATAAAATAAATTTGGTATCCAAATTTTTTAAAATTATATTCTAAATTGTGTCTATGAAACTGAATAAAAAATTTTGCTAACATTTTAAAATAAAAATTTAAGTTTTAAATAGACAAAAATATTATAATACATAATATAATGAAATTTAATACTATGTTAATAAGTATATATTTTGTACTGTTTATTTAATAAAACAGGTGATCTATCACCCTTCATTTATAACTTGAATAGTAAATTTTAAAATCATTGATTGTACTTTTCCAATATCAACAGTAATCTAACAACAGTATTTCCAGTTAATCCATTTGTTTTAACATGTATAAAGTTAGCTCAAACTTTTAAAAAAATTTTTAATTATTGTAAAGAAATTTTTACCAAACTGAAAAGTTAAAGTGGTGAATTTTTACATTATGTTGCTTATAAAAATGTTTTATTATTTGCTATTTTATAATTTCAAATGTATAAAAAATATGTTCCAATGATTCATTTATACAAATTTGCTTTTAGTTATTTTGAAAAATTCCAAAATCAAATCACTTTTATAAGCCATTTACTTGAGTAATTTTATTTACCTTTGATACACAATTAAAATAAATATAAATTGGTACAATTTCCTTTTGTATGAAACCTATTTCCTCAATTATTCTATTTAATTACAAAGTGTACTTTGTGTAAGCCTACGACCAACATATACAGTTTAAATTATAACATACACCATATAAAAACTTTTATTAACTTTTAAAAGCATTTGTCTGACACATTAAAACTTAAACATAATTTTGTGTACTTTTTCTAATTATATTGATAATATAGTTTTCATTTTTTGCATTTCTCTTATAAATTGCAGTGAAAAGTAATTCCATGAATTTCATTAAAAAATCTAGTTATGTAATTAACTAGAATGAATAGACTAGATATGAATCATCCATTTATCCTAACTAAACAAGTAATATACTCTGTATGATAAAAAAAAAAAAAAAACACTTTTGATATCTGTATTTTTCTGAATACAGTAGATCCTCCTATAACACGAGTTCATATAAGACGGATTCGTATAACATGGCAGAAAAATTGCGATTGTGTTCGTATAACACGCTAAAAGAGGCTCGTATAACACGGTAAAAGAATGAGACAGATTGTCACGGCCGACTCGTGTCGCGACAGGATTGGTCAAATCTAGACCAATAGTGGACGTTACACAAACTGTTAAGTTTAAACGTGCAGCAGACCTACTAAAAAACATTTATTATTCAACCACCATAAAAATTATATTTCTATTAATGATGTCTCCAAAGTTCAGTGAATTTTTCGCAGAAAAAATAACTTATCAGGAAACACATGACCACCGTTCGATGAGCTGCTCCATGATGAAAACAAGCTTAAGCAATGGCATCTTCAAATGGCGTGCACTCGTTAAGTATTCCTACAATTTTTTGTTTATAGTGTAGTTTATATGGATTATTCCAAAAAAAAAAAAATTATACATGTTTTGGAAATATGAGTCAAATTAGCCTAGAATCGATTAATTTTATGGAAGAAAACCTTTCAAACAGCTGTACCCCCTAAACTGCACAAGTGCCGGGATCTGAACGGCTCACGTATTTGTAAAATCTAAGTGACTCGTACAACACGGAATTCATATAACATGGAACGTATTTACCGTGTTATAGGGTCTACTGTACTTTTATTTAATCATTACAATTTAGGAAATAAGAATTTATCAACATTTTCAAAATAATTAGTAGATTTTATTCAATTTAGTTTTATATTCGAAAGCTAAGACTTTTCAAAAAATAAAACTGTTTTTTCTGTTTTATGCATTTTTCCTGATGAGGGCCTCTGAAAGACAGCCGAAAACGTTTGAACTTCAAGTTTATTTGTTCATTTACTGCTGGAATTAGCGTTTAGGTGTGAATTTGTTTGTTTAATTTGGTTTTATTTTGAAATTATTTATTTCTTCTGTTAACAACACAAAAAATAAAAAAGGAGTATTGTCAAGTGTGTAATATCTGTTACCGTGTTCAGTGCTGAAAATACTTGGTAGCATCCTACACTAACTCTCTCAATATGTCAAGAATGCTTCAAAGGTTTATTTATATTATTGCTTGGAAAAAATTTTATCCCTTGTTTATAAGAGAGAGTTTATTTTTATTCTTATGTAAACAACTCAAAGCCCAACAATTATATTAAAGCCAAATTAAATTGGCCTATGTTACCACTAATTATTAATAGCAGCAATAAAATAGCCCAAATCAGTCCCGTAATTGTTTGGCTTTAACATTTATTCCTTATTATATGCTTCAAAAAGAATACATTTCATCTATTAGTTTTATATTAGCACACAAAACTAATACTAGTAGTTGACATTATTATGTATTGGTATACTGTATATAAATTTTTTATTGGTACAGTACATCTGAGTGCCACAATTTATTTTTTCAAAAGAAGAAAAGAAAAAAGCAGTAGCAAAAATTCCTTTCAACGCTTACATACATATTATAATTAAACACAAAAAAATGTTTGGCATATGGTTTTTACACTAGCTGTGAACATGTTAAGTAAACTATGGTAGAATTTCTGATAACGACCACCTCTCGACAGCACTCATTTTACCAAAGTTTTTTATTTAACAAAGAGTGCTTCATTTAAAGCTTTGTTTTTTAGCCTCCAAATTAAAAGGATTCCACTAATAATTTAGATAATTCATATTCATTGTTTACATGTGAATTTTAAACTTCATTTATAACAATGTTTAGGGGAAATCTTTAACAATGATAAATCAAATGTTTAAACTGTAAAGAAATTTTCCTACACAGAACAACTTATGCATGAATTTCCTATAATTAATTGTTTATATATTGTAATTAATAACATTTTATCTAGATTTTAAAAAGTCATCATTTATTATTGATTTATTAATTAATCATCTCATAAATAATTATTTTGAAGATTTGATTTTATTTTACTCTAAAACAAGTAAAACGGTAAGGCTGTATTTGGGACAAGACTATGTCTCGGAGACTCACTACTAAGAGGAATCACTTTGATGCTCAAGGCGAGTCTCATTCTCATTCTCCAATCTTCTTTGGTATCACTGGTTTTTAGTGTGATCTTTCAAATTTCGCCGCCCACGATCACGAGGTTGTCCACCATGCATTTTCGGTGAAATTAACCTATCCAATTTCAAAATTTCTCAACATTGCGTGGTTGAATTTTTGTCCATGCCTAACGAAAATTTCCCATTTTTGAAAAAATAATCCTGGCTATCGTATCATCCAAAATTATTTTTTTATTTTGCACAAACAATATATATATGTTAATAAATGTAGAAAAAACAAATTATATTTCGGTAGTTAGTTTTAATATAAAATTATAACAACTAGTATCTACTTTGAAAAAGGTTCTGATGCTGAAACGAGATATCTCGGGTCAACCGGTAAGGTCAACATGTCACAACAGAGATATGTCAGAAATAAAAGAGGACAGGTAAATGGGTTTTTTCAAAGATTCGTTTGTCAAAATTCAATTTCTCAACGTTCACATTTCCAACTTTCCAATGAGCAATGCATACGCAAATCTCGCACTACTGCCTGTTTGTAGAGAGTGTCGCCATTTTGAATTTTATTTTGATTGGTTTCTCAGTCCTGAGTCTGTTTTTTTTTTATGTGCGCATGATTTGGGCATCTAATACTCTGTGCCAAATTGCAACTCCTGACATGTACTCCTTCATATCTCTAGGCTGGTTACCCAGCAAACAGTACGATTTTATAAACAAGACACAGTCTTGTCAACAATATTATTATTATATCATCATCAGAAATGCCAAATACTAGTATCTCAACTGATGAGAACTATTCAAACATTTGCCTCCAAACATTTGCTTCCTAATACCAGAAAATAGCAAAAATAATCATATCAAAGATTAAAAAGAATTTAGCAGTTACACTCCAATAAAATACCAAGAAAAAACAACTAATTGTCATCTCAAAATATTTGGTAAGAATATAAAATTATTATTTTTTTCTATCAATAAAATACTTTTTATTTCTTCAAGAAAAAAAACTGCTGTTGATAACTTTAACTAACTCCAGACGTCTCTTTGAAGGTAATGCCCTAAATTGAGATTACTTTGCCTTTTGCTATATTTAAAAAAAGAATAACAACATTTTAAAATATTTTACATATGTCAAAGCAGAATAAATTATCAATTCTTAGTGATTTAAATTTTTGATTTATAAAAATATAAAAATGAAAAAAGCAAATATTTTGTAAGTACAATAGAACCCTGGAACCATGGGCATTTGCAGAGGGGACAAACAAGAGACTCTTACCCCTCCTGGAATCAAGTAAAAAATTCCACAAATTATAATCATAAAAGCAATTGAGATACATAATCTTACACCTTTGACTATAAGACACTTTGTCTTTTCATATTGATGCAATACTATATTTTATCATCTACGAGTGAAAAAAACACAAAAATCTTAAACAATTGTGGGATCAGCCGGGGGTACTACTCCGCTGGGATAGTTAGTACCACTTAATCGGCGCTAGTTGGTGAAACTAGTTCTCCAAAGTTTCAAATAGTAAGATCTGATCTTATGTCAAGATTTTTGACTGGGAGGGCTTTTGTAACCAATCCAAATCGCGAAATTCAAATCCAAATCAGGATGCTGACACCAGTTTATCAATTTATCATTACGCGGATAAACACACGTGTGGATATGATATAGATCTGATTCAGAGAGTTAACAAGGGACATTTCTTTAACGAATAAAAAAAGATTTAATAACTATAATAAACAAAATCATACAAAAGTTGAAAAATTAAATATTCAAAAACAATCGATTGAGACAACTAATATATCAAGTTAAACGCTCGAGAGAGAGAGACGGACTCACATAACTTATACAATGTCGAGAGAGTGAGAGCTCACACATTCATTTGAAACATACAACCTGTTTAGTTGACTTTATCTTCTTCTGTATTTAGACGAAGGTACTTCATTGATAAAGTTCTCTGACTTCCTGGAGAAGTCTTGATAGGCACCTAATAAAATATTTCTTCATTTTACTATTTTAACTTATTATTATAGTAACTAGGTCTCCACTATAGACGTTGACTTAGCGAGAGACAAATATGGACTTCGTCGATCACATCTCTGATCTTCTGGCGTACTCTTCACTAAAGGCGTTGGCCTTATGGAGACAATATAGGATGCTTCTCTCCTCTGTGAGAGCTCCTGACGTACTCCTCAAATTCTGCTAAACTTCGACTATATCTCTTGATTAGCGACCAATCAGCCTGTTTGATTTCTTTCACATGAACGGATGAAAAGGGGAATAAATGATGGGTCGTCAGTTCTCATGGTGGTGAGATTTGTAACAGATAAGGGAAAAACAAAGGATGCTTCAGTTTCCGTTAAAGGAAGTGACTGTTTTATCAGTTTTCCCACGTTAGAAAACTGTTAATTTCTCACCAAAACGAAAGAATATTTTTCTACAAAACTTAATTTTATTTTTAAATTATTATTTAGACCCAGGGGCTATTCGGATCTCACACAATAAAAAATTTATTGATGTAATTATTTGTCTCCAAGCTTTGCTTGCCCAGAATATTTTCTGCAGACCTCCCATGTTGATTACAAAATAAATAAATTTAATTAATTTAACAAGAGATGATGGCCTAACTATCTACGTTCCACACACACACAAAAAAAAACCCAGATGTTTGATATTTAAAGTAATTGTCAAATTGGTTATATCTATTATGCAATAAGTTATTGTATTCATTTAGAATATATATGAGAAAACACTTTACCATTCATATTTAATAACAGCAGAAGATCTTGCATGTTATTGTGTATGCTTTGCTATTCAGAGATATTATTTTAACAAATTTAACAAACAACCCATTATTTTGAAAGTTTACAATTTTAGAAAAGTGCCACTTTCATCAAGTTAATAACTTCTTTATACAACACAGAATATACACAGCATATTACAAACTATATATAATGATTGTTTAATATTTGTTGCCATTTAAAATTTAAAAAATGCAAAGATCATTATATTAAGTATGGAATATAAACAGATTTAGAAAATAAATTTAAAATTTGGCAAAATGTTATTTATATCAAAAGAAAAAATTTACCATTGTCACTGTTATACGAAGCCGATGCCTGCTGATCCATATTAGCATTATCAGAATGAGAAGCAACTGCTGCTCCACTTGCATCTTCATATTCGGGAGGTGGAATTCCCTGTGGCGGAACTGGTTCCTCTTCCTGCTGTAACTGGTCATAAATAACGGATTTATAACTTTATTCCTTAAAATCAAATTATCATATTATATTCATATTTTTGCATGTATATCATATAATGAACATGTATAAAATAAATCAACATAACTAATCAATATTTTGATCATCATTTACTCAATTTCCATCAATTCTATAAATTAAAAGAATATTTTCTAAAGTCATTCAAATTAAAAAAATGTTTGCAAACTATCCAAAAAGCTTAATTATTTTCCATCAAAACTTTAATTATAATCTAAGATAATTAAATGATCAAATGATATAGTCATTTATCATTATTCTTTCATTAAACCTATTGGAGTAATCTGATCTCATTTGCATTTTATATTATTAGAAAAACCATATAATTTATTCTGACAGATTATTTTATTGCTGAACGAAATTAACTTCTTTCCAATAACTGGATCGATAACTATGTACACCAATCGAATTAAACCATGAAACCTTGATGTTCCAGGAAATAATTTAATGTAACTTTGTGTAATGTAATTGTAAAATTATTTACTGGACTGTCAAGATTTTGATTGGTGTATTTTATTGCTATTTTAACAATATATTATTTTCGAAAATGTCAAAATCTGTATTTTCACTTCCTACTCTCATTCTTTGTTTATTAAATCTTCCTTTTCTATAAGTATAACTCTTTCATAGCATAAGCCTCAAATACTGAAAATTTACAGTATCTGCATTTTAGCCTTAAAAAAAATTTATATAAAGTTATCTTCATTTAATAAAATATTCAACACCTTATAATGCTGAGAAATATTTATTAATACACAAACGTTTTCAGCCTAATGGAATAGGCCATCATCAGGTGACAAGTTATCGAACACTTTTGAAAATTGTGTTAAAACGGAACTTTCGAACATTACAAATTCAAAATTAAAAGTAAAATAAATTAACCAATCACTATACAAAATAACTATAATAAATAGATTGAAGTCATATTAATATAAATAATAAAATAAGGCGGTATAAAACTAAAAACAAAAATAAACCTAAAAGATTAAACGCACAAAAATGATTAAATTCATAAAAATACACATCAAAAAGCATCACATTATAAAGGCAGCTATGAACTAAGAATTTGTGTTTTAACTTTTCTTTTACAAAGAACTTCCATGCTGAGGCTAAACCATCAGCATCCCTTGCATTGATACAACCTTCCCTTAATTTACTCTTATAAATTTCAATTTTTTCATGTTGCAAAGCCAACGATGGGGACCGCAACGTCTTGAGAATAGACGCTTCATTCCATTTAACTACTGAAGCTTCTACATGTGCCATATTTGACAAAACCGTGGTACAATGCCCTTTACTAATGTCATATTTGTGTTCTTTAAGTCTAATAGCCAAATTCCATCTAGTGACTCCAATATAGTCCTTCATAATTCCTAGCTGTTGGTTTTCAAATGGAATTTTATACACGCCCGCTGTTTCTTCTTTTTTAAGCTTGTCCTTATCGTTTCTAAGAATACTGTATAAATTAGGACCTCTTTTGTAAACAATTTTTGAGCGGTTTTTTGTCTGAAATTTGCTTCATGATGTCCTTGAAGTTTTTATTATATGTAAATTTGGTGATCTTAAATTGAACTGTTCCGGTTCTTAACTTCTTGCCTCTTTCATAACTTTTTATTAGCCCTTCAATTGTACTTTTGCAGTAACTCAAATTTGAAGCTACTTCCTTAATTCTGTCAATCTCTTTAATCCTGTCCAATACATTGGAACAATAATATGACATTAGTCTATTTGCCTTACATATATGCCTTATATATACATTACAATAATGTGCCTTACAGTCCTTAATTCTAATTTGTCATTAATTGTCTACTCTGACACAACTTATTATTAGGACATTATACTGGTATTTTTGGATATTGACATAAAGATGAGATCTGCGTCAGAAAAAAAATTTCTTTATTATATCACCTGTAATAATTTTTCCTGTACACACGTTACACGTGTTTCGGGCTAACATGCCCCTCATCAACATTATTACTACAACATTAGTAAATTCGCATCATAATACAATGTACAACGAAATTATATTTCGAAAGAATTTAAATACAAAATTGCATAATATCATTTTTATTAAGAGTTCAGATTAAACTAATACATCTTTGTGTCAATATCCAAAAACATCAGTATAAGGTCCTAATAATAAGTTGTATCCGAGTAGACAATTAATGATAAATGTTTTATTTCTTGTTTATTACTAATTGATCAGCAAACATAGATTATTTACATATATAAAATATACATATAAATAAATAATCTAAATTTAAAACAAATTTATAAGCCAAACAATACTCAGGTGGTTTAATTTACTCGTGTATTGAATGTACAGCTGTCATTTTAAGCTTTCCATTGTGTTAAACATTAAAAAAACAAAACTACTAGATATGGACCAATTCTATCTACAAATACTCAAATACCTCCAATATACATACGTACAGAGAGTGCCTCTAGCAATTCTGGTTGAATTTATGACAAGAAGAAAAAACCAGACTAAATTCAAATGTGTTTGAATGCTTCCTTTCATAAATAAAAATCTGCATTTGAGAATGAAAATAGTTACTTATTAATCTATTGTAGTTAAGCTAACAGTATCTAAAAAAAAACAGTAGTATCTTTATTTACTATTACTACTATAAAACTTAAGTGTCAAAATTTTAAGTCCCATTTCTTAGCACTGTATTTATAAAATTGTTTTCCATTTTACTTTTTTTGTTTTACTTTATTAATGCTGATATATTTAAATAAATAAAACAAGTTAATAATTTATTTAATATTTATTAACTAAACTAAATAAGTTATAGACCTATTAGGGGCATCAACTTATTGAGAAATTTATGAGTATTATTCACAAATTGACAGACTTGTGAATAACAACAGAATTTGTAGATAATCAGCCAAACTCCCAACTTCTCTACTTCCTTTCCTAAACCCTCCTGACACTACCCAACCTTCCCTGCTTGCTTTGCTCACTTCAACCACTTGCTTAAAAATTTCACAACTCAATTCCTGGTGCTATTGTTTCTATTTTTTTTTTTGCCGTTCAAAAAAAGTGTCTTGAAATATATATAGGCTAGAAAAGATATGGTAATTCAATTTGCTAAGTATTTGGGATATTAGAGTATTCATAAAATTCAAATATTTTAGATCTGGTTAATATTCTGATTTGAGAAAAGAGATATTAGTCCACCTCTATTAATAATATTCTAAGATGCTAGTAAATACAATAAATTTTAATCTCAAAAACTCAATTGTTATTTTTCTAAAAAAATTTTATGACAACATTTTTATTTACTACTACTACTATTAGCAAAGTTACCTAGCATTGTCTGGGAAATTTTTTATTTTGTATTCTTGATTCAAATATAAAAACAAATGAACAATCAGACTTGAAACAAATGGACCAAAGATTTACACTTGGAAAACCCGCAAGTAATTTTGTGCTGGCTAAAAATGTGTTATTAAATGGTACAAAATGGCACAACTTCACTGGCCATGTAGACGAGAATTGATGTTTTCCAATAAAAAATAGTCATTGACTTCCACCTACACTAGAAGATAATTCGAGACATCCAAATTTTTCTAATGTTAACTCTAATATATCATTCATGGCTGAATATGAAAGGATAATTAGCCAATGAAGCAAATTTCATAAAAAATGGACCAAATATTTAAATTTGGCATGTTTGAAAATACCTAGAATCATATTTTGTGTTTGCTGGTAGTTTTGTATTAGTAATTTTCCTATTCAAATGTCAATATCCAGCTTGTCAGACAGAGCCTGTTGCAGGTGGGAGGGTGAATTTAATTTGACCAAAAGAGTCAGATGAGAGAATGGTCCCTAAAAAGTTTCATTGCATTCACTCAAACTGTATCAAAATGTATATTAGATATAACTCTAATAAATTCATAAACAGGTAGCACTTTTTAAAATAAACTTGGAATTAAGATTTTTGTTGGCTAGTAGATCGCTACTGTTCAGATTTACTTTGCTTCAAAAAAACCAAAAATGGAACTTACTTGCAGAGTTGCTCAATCCAGATAGGACCTAATCATTTTAACTTTTATTTATAATAAGCTTAAAGAGAATTAATAATAAATACAATAATTAAATTATTATGAATAAAAACAAAATTAGTTTCATACAAAGATATCAAAATTAACTTCTCAATAAGTGGATCAATGGACTAAGTACAGTACATCAAACAAAACCTTTACAATACTCTTTCAGTAACCTATGATTTTTGGTTCTTTTAAATATGGTTAAGTATCAAATTTCTGTCAATCTTTATTAATAAAAATGCTAAATACTGGTTTAAAATTCAATATACCTAAAACATCACTGCTGTATTGTATTAAAATTTGTATATACATTAATCAATTACAATATATACACTTACACACAATGTTCAGAATTATATCCAATTATCACTGTTATTTTTATGTTCAACTTACAATGTTATTCTGTCAAGTCAAGGACTATATAAAATTGGCTATCAACCATACTACTATCCATCTTGGAATTTAACAGTTACTACTGATATCACTGAAATGACTGAACATTCTATATTTTCAGAGAACAAAACTGATATGTAAAAATCTATAATAGGGAAGTACATTAGAGGAGAAAATTTATACTTCTTACAACAATTTAATTAAATTTATACTTCTATGCAATTTGATATATTTGATGCAATACCACAGCATGAATTTTATAATTAACAAGTGCTAACCAATTAGGAACTCCATTTTTAATTTTACTAATGAAAAAAATTAACTTTATTAGATTAAATTTTTTTAATGATATTTGCATTTTCAATCACTTGCATCACTCATTCACTCTTGACAACTACAGTTTTCATTTTATCATAAAAAAAAATAATCCAAAGATTCCAAAGATGTAATAATTCAAGTTAAGTTATAATTATTATTTGTACTAAAGTAAACCTTTATGAAAACAT